AAAGTACAATGTCTCTGTTATGAACCAGACAATCTCAATCCTATAGATCACTAAAGTAACATCACTGATCCATTAGCTTCTGATGATCGTTAGAACAAAGTTTGGGGAAACCCAAAAACCAACCAGATAAGAAAATAACCAGAGAACACAACTGATCTAAGTTAACTTTCCTAGAGAATCTCAATCCTATAGATCACTAAAGCTTCGTTATGACAAACCAAGCAGATGAGCAAAAAGAACAGTCCTTTGAGAGAACCCAACTGTATTTTTATCGGTTTCTAAGCAAGAAACTTATAGAAATTGGAAACTAAATGGAAATGGAGAAGAAGAAGGAAAAGAGTGAAAGTTACAGTGGGGAAAGTGTTGCTAGTGTAGGAGATGAGCAGACAAGTCTTGCCGACGGCGCCGTCACCGACGGTGACACACTTTATAAACCTTGAAGCACTCATCTTTCTCTCTGCGTCAACTTCAAACCCTAATTTTGATTTGAGCCGAGGATTTGGTAAAGAAAGAGAGAGGAAGGGTTGGTTCTCCACGCAGCTACGAGACAAAAGAAAAAGGAGCAAAACTCTTGACTGTTGAGAGTTGTATAAAGTCAATAATATGAGAAGACTCTGGTGGAGTAGATGGGTTAACCAGTTTGATTCGGGATTGGTTAAGTCCGGTTAATTGCATGCAGCTCTGATTGAGCATTGTAAGAATCGCTGCTATAGTTTTTTTACGAGCAATAGCGTAATAATGGACTATTAGCATATAAAGTAAGCTGATTAATATATATATTTAGCTGATTGATAGAGTTGATTAAATATAAAATTAAAATAAATTAAAATATATTAGTCATAAATTATAACATCAATTTTTATTTTTTTAATTAAATTATTATTTTATTATAATACTATTTAACAAATAATATGACAAATAAACTAATGGTATATATTAAGTTTTCATTTTAATATAAATATAAATATATTTAAGAATTATAAATTTTAATATTTAAGTTATATTTTTATTAAAATTTATTTAAAAAATAATAGAACATATAAAAAAATGATAAATATTAATATATATGTATATATGTTTTCTAATTACATAAATTATGTATATTTACTTTTATTGAAATGATTGTATATATTATATTTATAAATTATAACATAAATTTCTTTAATAATCTTTTCAAATTAGTATTATATTATAATATTATCTTAATATAATAGAATAAATAAAATAATGATAAATATGAATTTAAATAATTAAAAGTTAATATAATTTGTTTTTGTTCTAATATAAAATAAATTGGTTAGTTATATAATTTTATTTTTAATTTTTGAAAAAAATATTTAGAGATCAATACTCTGCAAATGCTCCATTTGAGAGCATTGAGGGAGAAGCATTTTGAGAGCATTTGCAGTTACTAAATGCTCTGTCAATCAATCAAATTTTAATAATAAAAAGCATAATACTCTTTAAAATGCTCTGCCAATCAAGCTCTATGTAGTCCATTCTTGATCGATTGTATCTCTCAAAGAA